CCCCACCCAAAAGGGCTCCAAAAGCATCTGAAGCAAAAATAAAGTAAAAGGATAATATACTATCAATGAAGGCATTCCCAGTTGCCCGACTCACCAAGCCTTTCTTTGTCCCTTCTATCGGCTTGCAATCAGAAGGCAGACATGTTTACCAGAAATGAGAACAATGTGCACAACCCACGCAGGAAGGCCATTCCCTCCTTTGGTTGAACGCACTCCCCCAAAGGTCAAGCATGCGTCACAAACAAGAAGGCCCACGACCCCAGCTGTAAACATTCCCTTTTAACGCAAACGACTCAAGCTTCTGTTATTTTTTTCAGACAACCGAGTCTCCCTTCCTTTGTGGAATGTTTCTTCTAAAGTACAACACTGTTCAATCAGTATCTTGCAGTTTGGCAATAAACACAACATTATTTGTCTATTGATGACTGCATGAAGAATCCCGTGTCACAACAATAAATAAAATGTTGCTCCATTAGGTCATCCTGTGACTCACATTGTGAACTCCCATCTTCAGTTGACATCTGATGCAGAGGTTTAACCTCATAGTATTTAACTGTTAAGACATTGGGCATCAAACTGCAATGAAATAATTGTAACCAGAAATTATCAAGAAAAAGACATTTGATGAATGTCGATCTGTCTTTGAGGTGCGGCGACACAGGTTTATGCTGTATATAGAAATTATCAATTTAGCAGAACTGACCGACCACAGGCCACTTTATCGCTGTGTTTTCATCTTTAGATGCATCATTTGGTCAGGATTTTATTGCTCCGGAGATAAATTTCTACTGTTATTTAGGGGAAAAAAAAGTCCCAATTGATATGCCAATTTTCTGTCAATTACTAAAAAAGTTTTCTGCATTTTCTGGGCTTATTTTTCTTAAAACTGGAGGGTGTTTTCTCAGAGTTCCTTTTTTCCCAGCATTTTCAGTTATCAACATTGGGTGTCGGAAAACAAAACTGAGTTTACGGGGCTCATGCTGACAAAAATCAAGCAAGGGCATTGGAATTCCCAAACCTCCAGGGAACACACCTGCGACCTGAATACCTGAAAAATGCCTCCGCAGCGGTAAGAAAGAAATGAGATAAGCTGTGTGGTTCTGAAACGAGAAGAAGTTCCGAAGCGAGAAGCCTCACATATAGTTTGTCAAGGGGGGGGGGGGGGGGGGGCTGCATTCCCAGTCAGCACAAACTAAAGACATAGACAAAGATTGTCTTCCCATGATGCTCGGGCTTTTCTTATTCAAGGACAGCTCCCATTCGGGGTTCATCGGTTTTCCCCAAATTTCAATAAAACTCCTAGGGGGTAACATTCAGGGTTTATTGGTATTTACTGAAAAACCGGAACCCTAGTCCATAACACATGGCCGTTGCTGGACATCTTTGCTTTTCGACAACGCCCAGAAACCCTTTGATGATAATTTTGAAGGCAAAATATGCAGCTTACGGCTCGCTTTACGGGGGTATTCGACGACATGTGCAGTGATGTGATTGGCCTAAGCCGTTTTGGAGCACCTTTCGGAGCAGCCAAAACAGAGTATTGGAGCAGCCAAAGTGGCCTTTGGAGCAGCAACAACAGTGTTTTGGAGAAGAAAAAGTGGCTTTTGGAGCAGCCAAAACACTGATTCGGAGCAGCAAAGTGGTATTTGGAGCAGATATTCTTAGAAAAATAAACATGTTTTAAGTGCTGGACGAACGAAGGATACTTTGCTCGCTGCAATAAACAAATTATGGTCAAGTTAGACCACCTGGGAGTCTTTCAAAATGTAACTGAAATGCCAATGACATGATACATTTTGCAATGCTTCAATTAAGTGACACATATATATGTACCCGTTACAGATAAATATGAACCAAACTGCACATATCAAACCTGATTTGAAAATGACCAGCTTAGTAATAACTACCACAGCATTAGGATGACCAGTTATATAATACATGGATGCAGTCACTTGCTGATGAAACACATAACTACCGCAGTGCGATGCGAAATTGTGCAGAAGAGAAAGGTGCATTACGACTAGCGGGTGCTTTTCTTTTTGCTTTTCGAAACTTTCTGCAAGGCTGCTGCAAGCCTCGCTTTGCCTTCGGCTAGTAATGAATGTCCACTTGCAATGCCTCCAAAGAGACATCCCACAAGTGTACATATGTTGCCGTAGGCGTCGCCGAGCAATTCCGAAAAACCACTTCCCACCATCTTACCGGATCCCAACATGCCAGATTTTGGTCAAAAGTAAGGATATGTAGAGCAATGGACTGCACGTGCCCCGGCTGGTGCCTCTGTCGTGCATTAATTTTTGCATGCACATCAGGGCAACTTCGGTAGGCTTGCAGGTGCACATGCTTCGTCGCGCGAGCGGAGATGGCTGTTCGATCGAAACGGAAACCATGCCACTCTGCTCGGTTGCCAACAGGTTCTCAAAATTGTTTGCAAAATGTAGCTGTTCAGCCAAAAACAGTCCAGCAGCATGCGTTGAAAAAATTTTAAAAAGCCGCAAGACAAGACCCACGAGACGGCGAAACGAGAGACAGCGGGAAAAACCATGCAAGACCGGATGGACGATTGATGTAGGGTACATTCTGTCAAACGGCCGCTTGCACCACCTAGCTCACACATGCTCAATCACGGCACTCAGTTTAGTTTTGGTTTTGAAAGGCGACCAAATTGGATCTTTGGCGCAGGCTTCGCGCAGATTACCCATATTTTGGCAAAAAGTAGCAGGATGTAGCAGGGTTGGGCCCTTGGCACAGTTTGGCGCAGCAATCACATCACTGCATATGCACTGACCCAACGAGCCTGAACTAGCCTGGAACGTAATAGGTCGTCTTTGGCAATCCAAACACACACCATTCCCCCAGGATTGCTAGCTCTCCTACCTACGGGCAATCTGGTTACCTCGACAAAAGAGGTAGACCTCTGGATGAAACAGAAAATAGCGAGCAAACCAAATTATAAATCTAGCACAAGTATGATAAAGAATTTGCGGGTAAATTAATGAACAATGTGAACAGCGTATGTGCAACTGCCAGTCTCTGGGCCTGCACATGATGCACGCAATCCTTGCCACAGCATCTACTACACTCAGAGAAAAAGGGGCATTCAACACAGCATGCCACAAAGTCAACAAAGCGTTCAAATCCCCCCAACGACAAAGGCAAGAAAAGTACAAAGACTGTTGCGAGTAAAGACTGTTTCGACGGGTCCGTACGTTTGAAAGGACAAGCGCCGGCGGTCTGTCTGCTGAAGGGTACCCTGGCAATCCGTCAATGACAGCATCGGAACAGGCACCGCCTTCCAGATGGTGCCCCATGTGTCAACCCATGACATTTCTGCAGTGAATATCGCACGTGTTTGCCTTACGTCGCCTATCGACGCAACAGACCCCGTCAGCTAACTATAAGTCTCTCCTGTCGGTTGGATTGGCCCTTTCCATTTGTGCATTGTCGTCATTGCTGTAGTTACACCAAAGTGAGCGTATCCCACCAGCCAAGGGCTTTGTGCAGGTTCTCGATCGGTACAGCTATTATGAAACAACTTGTCCAAAATATTTGGGCAGGACTTTTGTCTTCTACACAGCAATCGAAGTAAACTAACGAGAAAATCTACGGCAGACAACCATGTGCCTCCTGCACAACAGTTAATACATAACAATGGATGAGAAACTGATTGCCATGTTTTGCGCAATTTGTCGTCTTTTCCCTCTTCCTGCTTTTTCCTGTACGCCGCCTTACTATGTGAAAATGCAACATTGATATTAAAAGGTGCTAGTGCCGCATAACTTAACTAAAACGGCTTGGTGGTCTAAGATAACACCCATAACACCCTCTGCCTTTTGTGAATTAGGAATACTTTTGTTAACAAGCCATTCAAAGGTCTTGACAGCAAAAAAAATATTCGTTATTCGTCGTGCAAATGTGTGCGCGTGCGTGCGTGCGTGTGTTTTGAGAGCTCGCAAGTGACAACAGGGTCGTATTTGTTCAAATACAACTTTTTTTTTGTTTATCTCCCTCTATGTAAACACAGCCAGTCCAGCGTTAGTTCAGTAATGAAGTTATGTTCCGCATTGCGCATGCTCCTTTCAGCGCGTCAAGGCTAGAAAACGCTGTCAGCAGTACTCACGGTATTTTACTCCGCATTTTTGCCAAATCCTAGTTGTCTGCGAAATCTGCCGAGACCGAAATTCCCAACCGGCACGAAACCCGCCGCGACGTCATGTTTGTACCTCCGGCAACCAACCCCGGCGCATCAAGCTTGACAGCTCGAGAAAAGACGTCAGCTTGCGGGCGGAGCGGGGGAACTCTCCCCGGTGACTCATCCGGCCGGGCGAGCCATCGAACGGAAGGACCGTCAACAAAAGCCTCGCAGCGGAAGACTTGAATTTCTCGGAACTACCAGCAGCTGACAACGAAACACACATCCAGGGACGGCTGCGCACGACTCCGTGTTAACGAGTCCGTGAGAACGCCAGATACGCAAAAGGGAGACGATAGCTGGCTCGAAGTGCGCGGTCATCAAACTGCGAACCGTGCCAAAAAAATAAAAATAAACCAATAGCAAACTTAAAAAAAAAAAAAAAAAAAGCGGGCTGTTTTTGTCAGTCAACAACGCCATGTGTTTTGCGAGCAGCCGCGTTCGCGAAAGATGCAAGTGGCCGAAAATTCGTGCGTGTCATTCGACAATGACAACGGGCAGCTGGTACGTTGCCAGTCATCGGTAAAATGCCACAAGCGACTTCGAAAGCCGGATGTCTAAGTTCCAATCGTAAACAGAACCCACCGAGCGAGTCAGATTGCGTCATATTGCGACGAGTTTCTTCACACCAGTCTCGGGGTAAACGCGCAGTATGACAACCGTCGCCCACGTTCGCGAAGACGCGACGGCGACGTTTCGGACACACGGCACAGACGCTTCGAAACGCGAGCCGAGCGCGATCACCGATCTCGCGTGCCGTAACACGACGGAAGAGGAACAGTAGAGGCGTTTTAGGCCTAGCACTTACCTCGCCTGTGGAGGCGGTAGCGACGGCACCACGGTGCGATTTTTCACCTCGTAGAAACTGTACGGCGACGCGCCGTTGCTCTCGTGCAGGCTGAGCGAAGAGGCCGCCATCATTTCGTCGAAATGGAGGTCCACGCCGGACTCCTTGAAGTGCTCAGACATGACGGCTCCGAGCGCGACATCCAAACACCGAATCTCTCCACCAAATCTAATCGTCGCCGCTTCGCTGGCTTCGCGTTGCCAGATTTCTTCAGCTGCGCGCTGCACGCTGCGACGCGCGCGCAAACGGCGCTCATTGGCTGTCGCGAGCCGTGACGTCACGCGAATCGCCTTGGCGTAGTTGTGGAAGGTGTTTCGTTTTCGTTTTGGCCGCGACGCCGCCGACGATGTCGCCTCGGGGCTCCCCTTTTTTCTGCGCAATATTTTTTTATAATTTTAGAACGGTCTTCGTGGCTTACTTTTGCCGTTTCTCGGGAGGCCATTGTGAGACATTAGGCAAGTTACGTTGAGACAGCTGCGTCTCCGGCGAATAGAAAATGACGCGCTGCTCGAACGCTTACACTGCGCACTTACAGTATTTTTACTAATGACCCACCAGATGAATGCGCTCTATCGTAGAATAGACGGGATGCACTATAGTGGGCGCCTCTTTCGAATGTCTGATTTCCAGCACGTGCTCGTTGCCTTCTACCGTGCACTGAGTGCACCGCAGTCTGTGCTCGGGTACAACTGCAAGATACGAACATCTCCCTTCGTTCTCATCTTGCCAGTCACTGCCGCAGCTCAGCGGTAGAACGGCTAGCTTCCTGAACAGCTATTAATAAGTACTGGATGTATTATACTTGAATTTCATTAGAATTTGTTGCGAGAATTTGAAGCTCAGGATGAAAATCTGCAATCAGCGTGTGGACCGCACGAGGCCAATTATTTTTCGACGGCGCTCTGAATTTTGTTCGCCTACCTTTGAATTTGGCACGAAACTAAAACTCATGTTGCGGAACTTTGGACTCCTTGGTACACTCCCCACCCGAGAGAGTCCTTCCTGTTTCAATCTGGTTGAGCACCGTACCGGCGTGCAGTGCGTCACTACTGCGTGATGCACGTCAAAGACCTCAGGCTAGCAGTAGTACTGCACTGGCTAAATTTCTCGTCTACAGCTCGGAGACAAGAGATGTTCACTGAGAGGGAATAGAGTTATTATTGAACGTTATATATATATATATATATATATATATATATATAAGATCGCTTTGTCCCAATGCGCGCGTGTCGCGATGCAAAGCCCTGTTATCAAAAACCCTAAAAAAAACTGCCTACCGAAAAAAAAATAAGTTTTTTTTTTTTTAGGGTTTTTGATAACAGGGCTTTGCATCGCGACACGCGCGTATTGCAACAAAACCAACTTCTCGCAGAGGTCCACCGATGGCCAGGAGGAGAAATGAGGTAGGGATAGCAGAGGGAATAAAATTAGAAAGGTACGTAGCATATATGCCTATCCTGGGAGGCACGGAAGTGCGTGCACGCCAGCCCACAAATGAACGATGTATTGATAAGCTATCGTGCTCTGCACGTCGTCCGCAACAGTGACTCAAATTATATTGTCGCGAACCTACTCAGGTTCGAGGTTGGATCAGATTCGACTCTTTCAAACTACTGTGGGAAAATTCGACAAAAGTTCGACTGAAGTTCGAGCTGACACCCCTGGGGGAGGGGGAATGCAAGAAATGAACTAAGCACACGTGTTTGCTTTTATATTGTGTAAATATTGGCATGCATTTTGTAACATGTCAAAGAACCTACTTTAGGCACAGACGCTTTTTATTTATTTTTCCCATTTTCTTGTTGGTTGCTGATGACGTTAAAATTAATTGGATATAAATATCGGTTGACGTTGGGGGCTCCCTCGCACATTTGCGACTGTTTACGACCGAGAGTGTTACGACCTTTTGTGATCTCTAACGAACAGAGCAGAACACACTGGCGCCGTCTATCGGGTAACCGTGGAACACATGCGTCATCCGTATTATTTCCTTTCCTTCTCTCCCGGCTTGAAAAACCTTCGACAATCTTATAAACGTCAATTTCTCACAGATATTAAGTACATTGGATTTCCCCGATAGCGCAAAACCTTCGCTCTAGTGAAAGGTAGTTCCATGAGCCCCTCATAAATGGGACCAGCATGCCAGTGGGTTTTCTCGTTGTAAGATATCACAGGGAAGTAATGCACTCGGTCGTGGGCGGTCGAACTTCGTCGAATTTCGTTAAAACTTCGGAGGTTCGCCGAACCAGTCGAACCTAAGGTTCGAAAAAAGTTCGGTAGACCCCGAAGGGTAACCCACAAGACGCTTTCATCTAAATCGGTGAAAACCAAAAAAACTCCAAGCATTATTTTGTATTCGTGAACCACGTCCATTGTAAAATTTCCTCCTCTTATGGTATACGGGAACGTTTTCTAAGTATTCGGTGAGCGCACATTTTCCTTCGAAACTGGGGAATCCCACGACCTGTTTTCTTGAACATAAGCCCCAATATAGACACCTATCACCACCAAAAATAAACACCAAATATTTTGTATAATAAATATAAACCCCGATGAAATGCCTCCGAAATCGAAGTAAAACACGGAACCCTAATTATAAAGAACCATAGATGGTCGCGTCAACCGATAAATGCGGCCATATACCTGGTTCGCCGGAGCTGCATGTGACCGCGAGTGGTGTCGGGTCCAGTTCCCGTCCTCCGGTTGCCTGGTTTCTGGTCCAGTTTCAGGACAACAGCGACAAGTGCGATGGGCTCCGGCGAGAGATGCCGGCCCATTCGGTGGCTGCTGGGTACTTGGTCGGCGCCCCTCTTACCGTTCGCGGCTCGCCTCAACTCGTATTCCATCCGCACCAGTCGGAATCGCAGGCGCGGATACACCCGGGGTTTATTGTTTAGTGGTGAATTCGGGTGGTCGCCTCTCTCCTCTGAGTTCTGGTGAATTCGGGTGGTCGCCTCTTTCTCCTGACCTCGATTCAGCAGAGCGACCCCTCCTCGCCGCCAGAGCTACTCGGGATCCTTTTCAGCCGATCACAACTGCTGGCTTCAGAGCGCTCTGGCATTCTCAGACCAGCTCGGAAGATTAAAAAAAGATTAAAGCGTACGGTGGACGATTGAGCAAAATTTACGCTTGTAACGTGATGAAATAACGGCTGTGACGTAAATTATTTTACGCATCGGCATGTAAAAAAAAAAAAAGAAAAAAAAAAGCAGCAGTACAGAACGGAACGAAAGCCAATGTTTGGGAAGAGTTGTCAACTCCTCGCGTTTTCGCCAGCGAACGCGCTGCGATAGCGGTCATGCGTACGGCAGAACAAGCAAATATAAAATAGTTAATAAACCGCATTTTTTTCCCATGGCGGAATACCCTTTTACTGAAAGAGGGCGAGAGAGAAGACACGAAAGGGCTACCGGCACTTTCCTCCTTGCTGGAGTGTTAGAAAGAGTGAAAGTCCCGGATGAGAGGCTTCGCCAATGTTGGGTGTATTCATCACCCGAACTTCGTTCGCGATTTCTTCTCTGTATTAAACTCCCAGATTTAATTAGAGCCCCAGGCTTGTATGGCGACAGTCCCCCGCTCGCCAGCTACATTATGTACTAATCTTGAAAATAAGAAGAATCTAGTCGGGTTGTGATGGTCAACATAGGTTCACGCCTCCCTGCTACAGCGCAGGAGATCGCGATTCAGGAAAACCGAAAGAACTAACTTTTCGACAATTTCCAGCCACACCCGGCGGCTGAGATGAGCCTTCAACTAAGTGTTGTAGATGATAAAATCGAGTCAGTGTCACCAATTCAAAATGTCAATGTTAAGATAAATTCACTTACAAAAAAGTTACAAACTGAAACAGCAATTATCACGAGAAAACTTCCACGCACCTTGTGAGCGTACCTCACGTTCATCCACGGTACAGTGCGCGCTCCATTCACAAAATGTTCCAAGTGCAGTCGAGAGGATGGCGCTGAGGAAACGTATTTTCAGTTTACGGACGCTTGCCGGATTCCGTACAAGCTACATAGGTCCTCTGACAGTATTCGACGCTTTCTGTCGGTATTCAGCAATCGCGTCCCGATGTTTGGGGTACTGTTGTCATCTAAGCCCGTAACTCTAATTAAGTTTGGGAGTTTACAGCAGAAAAGAAAGCGCGAACGAAGTTCGGGCAATGCATCCACGCAACACCCGCGAAGCCACTCATCTGGGACTTTCACACTTCCTAACGCACCAGCAAGGGGGAAGCTTCGGTAGCTCTTTCCCCTCTTTTTTCTCCCTCTCAAAATGGCACTACCTACGATAAAATGGTCTATAGCACATATCGCCATGTGACACAAATCACAGTGCATTATATTCGGCTCTCTTTTTACAACACAAACCTTTGAACGCACTTTTACCAAACCAAAAAAGTTCTTGAAGCAACCTCAAAAAACCGATAAAACAGCGGCGAGCTCTGCGAGCTGTTTCTTCGTCGGTTAGGTTTGGCTGATTCACCGCCGTGAGATGAACGATCTCGTGTAAGCACTGGGAATACTTTACACGTCGACTTTTCCTGTTACGTTCACAAACGAATGTCATCCCGTCCGTTGTAATCCTCGCACCGTCGAATGCACAAGCACTTTGTAGACCCAGATATCAATCGTCGTCATGCCGAGCCCCGCACACCACCACAGACCCACGACCGGTTCACAGACCAAAGCCGGCCATCGTCAACAAAACCACGTGATCCCGGTCCAAGTACCACGTGACTCCCGCGCCGCTCCGCACTCCGACGGCTAGAGTTGGCTAGAGACGCAGTGCTAAGGAGCGCTCTGAGAGGGAGGGGCGTCCTCGGAAAGAAACAGCCGATCAGGTCACCGCGCCCTCTTTCCATCACCCGATCTCGCGCGCTCTGGAAAGAGCGCTCAAGAGCGGCAGACAGAACCACGCGAATTCGCCCCAGGGCCGGCCCCAGGTGTGGGCGACCTGGGCTATCGCCCAGGGCGCCATCAAAAGAGGGGCGCTACCGGGCCCCCCTTTTGAATTTTGATGCGTCAGCGTTAGTGCCCTGGTACATGCGCTGACCTTGGACTGGTTTGGAGCACACGTACCCGAAGTTCGCAACGTCGCCTTGGGATGGCGCCACAGCCCCACTGGCTGGGGAAACTGGCTAGGAAACACCTTCTGCAAGCGCCAACAGATGGCGGCGGGGTGCACATTTGGACTTTTGGGC